ATGATGGTGCCTTTGAATCTTCGTTGTATTGGGCCACACATGCACAGGATGAAATCCCACAAGTCTGGGAAAAGAATGATCAGGGAGCTGTAAGCTGCGCAGTCCCCCTTGCTCACAGGCTGAGGTCTGATTATGCAGAATGGCGCATCCTTGGTAATTACATGGGGCATTCAGTGGGGATTCCAGAGGGGTCAGCACCTTAGTACTAGGGCTGACCTGTCCTTGAAGTGGTGATTCAGGCCTACCTGGCAAAGCTGGAAAAGAGCTCTATAAGGGATCAGCTGATCCACAAATAACTGCCAGCTAGAATAAAACTCAGCACTTTTTAAAAGAAGGAAACAAAATCAGTACATTTAACAATGTAGCATTTATAACGTCCAGTATCATATAAAAATTGTTAGAATGCCAAGGAGAAAAAAAAAGTGACCTATAACTAGAATAAAATCTAGCCAACAGAAACTAATCTAGAAATGGCAGAGTCATACAGCTGGCAGATAAGGACAATAAAACAGCTGTTAAACATTTTCAAGTAATTAAAAGAAACACAGTGAATGGAATAGAAGATTTATAAAAGAATCAAACAGAACGTAAAACAATGAAAATTAGAATATCTGAAATTAAAAGTTCACTGCAAGGTCTTAATAACAGATGAAACACACCAGAGGAAAAGGTCAGTAACTTAAAGAATAACAATAGAATCTATCCAGACTAAAATATGTAGAGAAAAAGACTGAAAAATTGTTGCTGCGGGAGAAACCCATTTTTTTGGTGAATTGTCTTAAATTTAATCAACACTACAAAGAGTTCCTTCTACATACAATCTCATAACACCCAGGTGTTCGGGCACCTGTAAAAGGGGGGAACTCCAACCTCTGTCCCTTGTACAGGTGGGCAACCTGGGGCCCACTCACAGTGCTCGCTTGCCTGGCCTCCTGCTACATCACAGGCTGTGCACTTTTGACCAGTGGGCTTCTGAGACCTAAACAAGTCCTTTCATGATCTTTGTTTAAGATTTCAAATGCAATTTGTTTTAATACTTGATAGAATGGGTAGACAGTAAATGAGTGAGAATAGAGAAGGTTTGAATAACACTGTTCACCTAATGGTTCAAAGTTATAAGAGGTTATTTAGAAGGTAACCATCAAAGGTGATAGATACCATATTTATTTTTATGGCCTCTTCCCTGAGACCACCTTATGAGTTGTTTGGCTAATTCTGCCTGTCTCACCAGGATGCATCCAGTATAGCAGTGCCATCTAAGCTGCTTTGCTCAGCATCCCACTGATCGTGTGTTCCCAATTTGTACATATGTAGCATATTTATGAATTATATATGTGTACTATTAACAGCATATTATGCCCCTTTAAACATATCAAAAATAGAAAATTTTACAGTCTGATATATTCCAGTAGATTATCTTGCACATACCCTGTCTCTGGGCAGAAGCAAAGCCCTAATTAACATATTAGGTAACCTACAGTATTCTTTTTAGTGTTTTCTATTTTTGTAGATTTGAGTAGAAGTATCAGACTTAGGATTCCTAGTCAACTGGGTTGTAGGTCTGGTCCTCGCCCCCAGTCGGGGCGCATGTGGGAGGCAACCTATCCATGTGTCTTTGTCACATCAACGTTTCTGTCCTCCCTCCCTCTTCCATTCTCTTTAAAATCAGTGGAAAAAATATCCTCACTCCTTGGGTGAGGGTTAAAAAAAAAATAGGTCATCTGTTTTTCTCTATTGTGCATACTGTTTTAATAGCACTCAATAAATACTCAATTATACATATTTATATATTGGTGTGTTTTTTTCATGGACTGCCTCTTTTACTAGGTTTAAATTCCACAAAGCAGAGATCTTGTCTATTTAATTACTAATCTACACTTGGAGCTTGACAGTATATACAGGGTGTCCCCAAAAATGTATACTCACTTTAACAGCTGACAGCTCAGTAGATGTTTCTTACTTTTTAGATTTAACCTATTGGAATTAGTGCAGCCAAAGTGTATGCTTTAGGGATACCCTGTATGTGTGACTATATATATCCCAGCTTATGGTGTGGGCACCAAGTAGATATTTGTGGAGTGAAATGACTAGAAAGAAGATAGTAAGTTTACATATAAAGGATATTTTTTAAAACCAATTTTTACCTTCCTTCAAGTTATTTAAAACTTAGGTCTCTTAATTCTGTGTTCTCTCTTGATCTGGAGCTTAATATTTTTTTTCTCCTTTGCATCTGGGTAACTATTCAACAGCAGCCTCAATTCTCTGACATTTTCAACATTTATTTTTCTTTCATAGAAGCTTGCCTACAACTTTGTTTTATTCTTTGGACCATTAGAAATATCTATAGTTTATTTTTAAAGGTATCTTTTTACTCAGATTTAGATTTCACACATCTTTGCAGTATTACAGAACACAACAGTTATAGCATATTCAGAAGTGATGTTATTTCACATATTGATTGATTTTAATGGTAAGTTTACCTGAAATCAGTTGACTTTGTTGCAGTTTTTTGACTTCTATGATCTTTTAGAAAGATGTATTTCTTTTCAAATGAGACTTTATAAATCATTGATTTAAAATAACAATGATTAGAATTTATTATTATCGTTTAATTTATACACTGCTGGTAAAATTGACTCTTAAGCCAAGTATATATATTGATGATGAATTGTTATGTGTATGTGAGTATATATTGGTGAATTGTCAGTATTAGTGGCTTATTTGAACCTGCTTTTATGCTTCTTAATCTTTTCCTTATATATCCTTGAGAAGGTGCATGGCCTGGTAATCACACAGTTTCTGTGCACAATCTGAAATACTTTTTTAAAAAATTTAACCTTATCCCATCTCTTTTTTTGTGTGATTCACGTAAGATACAATTCACCTATTTAAAGTCAGAATTGTGCAGCCTTTATCTCAAGTCAATTTTGGAACATTTTCATCACCCCCAAAATGCACCCCTTAGCCAGCACCCCTTAATACCACTCCACCCCCTACAACCACTAATCTACTTTCTGTGTCTATAGATTTTTCTATTCTAGACATTTTATGTAAGTGCAATCATATATGTATGTGGTCCTTTGTGACTGGCTTCTTTCACTTAACATGATGTTTTCAAGGTTCATGCATGTTATAGTATTATCAGTAATATCTCCTAGTTTTAATCTAAAAATACTTAACCATGAACACTTTATTCTGCAGGAAAAATGCTCTTCTTTTGCTATGTATGGCCACTTTCCTTCCTACCTACCCCAAACATATCGGTTACATACCCCTAGAATATACATATTCTAGTTTTAGTCTCAGACTTTCTCAGAATTGGATAATACTACCTTTTAAAAAGTCTCCAGATGCCTTAAATATGTCTTAGGAAAAAGTGCTCTCTTTACATAAATCAAGCAAGCCCCAAGATCTCAGAGACTGCCTTTTTTACTGCCAACATTTGAGAGTGAGGGAGAGACAAGTAGAAGTGCTACTGAGAAACACAGGTTGGCCTGGCTGTGTGTTCTGGGCCAGTTACATGTTTAGCTTCCTTCCGAGGATTCCCAGAACAGTTCCCTCAGCTAATATCAGAAAGGACTGATTCTGTTGTATGAAAGTGACACCAATTACAGTCGTTCAGGTTAGTCTTCTGCTATTTATGTCAGTTAGCATGCAACATAGGATTACACGTAGTATTAGGTATGGAGCGCTTGAATTTCATAAATTTTATTACACGTGACGCAATAAGTGTACATTCACATAAGTTTGTTCTTCTCGGCCCCCTCTTGGAGAGCCTCCTGGAAATAGGGAGCTAGCCCTATTCATATTTCTGTTTCCTTGGATAGGCAAATTACTTGCTTATCCAATTGAGCAAATGCTTATCAAATTGAGTTTCAGATTGTTACTGAACTTCTTAAAGTTTGTATAAACCAGGCTTGATCATGTTCTCCAAAACTAGTACCTGATGAGTTAGTAAGATACTCACTGGTTAAACATATGAGTGATAATTGATTGAAAAAAAGATCACTACTGTTTGTGTTTATGTAGGGGAAGGAAGTACAGAGGGTTGTGGGCTATATTCTAGTTGTATCTCACTCCTAAGTCTTTAAATTTAACAATAAAAGTAGGAATTACTTTCAGTTAACAGAAATTAAAGTTAAAATATTCTTCCATAAAACCTCTTATAAAACATTTTATAATCCAAAAGTTTTGTAATTTCCAGGGTTAAGCATTATCTTTCTTTTTCCTCAAGTTTTAAGTGTTTTGGTAGTCTGTATAACATAGATCAGACTTGATGTGTCATTTATTTCTTTTAACAATTGAGCATTTTAATGTAAGCTGTCATTGAATTTAAAATTGATAGGGTATTGGATCTGTGCTTGTATATAATTTGAAAGTACACAGGTCTGATAAGTATTTATTTTTAACTGTGGTTAAAGTTCTCTTGGGTTCTCATTTTCAACTTGATAATAATATAGAATAATAACTAATCTTTTTATTACATTTTATCACTTACTGTCATAATCTCTGAGATATTTCCTCCCACTTTTTTCTTTTTAAAATTCAGTAGGAAACTGAGGCTCAGAGAAGTGGCTTACTTTAAATTATACAGTCCAGTAACTACAGAGGCAAGTCTTGAAGCCAAGTTTTATGATTCCGAGTGGGCAAATCTTTCCCTATAGCATGCTACAGCTGTTACTCATTCATTACTAATAGTGTGTATGTTTCTGAAGAAGTAAAAGTAGTTTCTGTGCTCGGTTTTTTCTATTGAACTGAACATTGACAATTGAAAATAAAAACATAGTTATCTGCTTTATTGTATTAGGAAGTACACAGTGATGTGTAGTGGTACAGTAAAGTAGAATACAGAAATGCAAATCTCATAAGTTATCTGAAAATTTAATGTAATGTTTTCAATGAATGTTTTACTCATTTATTTAATTTTGAGTTTAGTATTAAAAGTTAAATAAAAATATAAAAACAATGAATGTAGGTACAATTTTTTTTTTCTTTCCCAGACAGATATTGATTATGTACACGGTGTTATAGCCAACCTGGAGAAAGAGTAAGTTCTTATTAATTATGGAAGTGAAAATAATCATCACTATTATCTCTTTGCTTTTTGCTAAAAGATAATGCCTTCTTTTATAGTTCATTTCTCTGGAGTTCAGTGTTCATTGGCCCACCTATAATTGGTTCTTTGGAATTGTCATAAAGTAGGTGCATATCTATCCAGTTATCTGATGTGATAAATTGGTGTATTTCAATATAGAAAAGACTTGAATGTTATATGTATGTAACATTATCAGATAACAGTTTTTAATCTGGAGAACAGTGAATTTAGAGAGTGTCATATGAGGTTACTTAAATTTTTCACCCTCTGTTTATCAGGCAAAAATTTTTCTGCTGTTAGGGCAGATAGTCATTTAGCAATTTCAAACCTCAGTGCTAAACTATGTCTAAATCTGATCTGTTTTGCAAAGATCGCGTAACAGGTTACTGTGAGCAAGGCACATCGCAGGTTACAGATGGAAAGTTTAGTAAATTTCAGGTATCATTAATTTTTAAAATATTGCCTGGGTAGTCTTAATAGTAATATTAAAAAATCAGTCTTGATATGGTTTCTTCATTGAATTATATCTGGTTTTGCCCTCTAAAGATCTATCTTCTACTTGAAAAAACAAAAGAGAAGCAACAATTATTTGCCAACTCTAGATTTAAAATAATGTGACTCTTATCTTTGTCTATCAAAATGCTAAAACCAGAGATTTAAAATATGTATAATTCAGGATTAAACTGTGCATTTATTAGATTTTTTCATAAGAGCTTAGTTTCTTGGCTGCCTTCATATAAGTACAACTTAGTATAAACTCCTTAATATAGGGTAATAATTATCAGTCCCCTTCCCTTGGGCCACATGGGCAGGTCTGTGGGGCACATGCAGTGATTCTGTCAATTCCTTTCTTCATCAGTGCATAGGAAAACCATGCCCAGAAGAAAAAAAAAAGTGCAAATTAAGAACATTTATGCAAAGACAGGTAATTACACAAGCATTTTGTGGAAATTTGCAAAAATGAAATAAAGGAGAATGCAAATGAGAAGGAAATTGCAATTAAGAAAGACTGGTTTAAAAACCTTTAGAACAGAGTTTCTCAACCATGACACTGTTAACATTTTTGGGCTAGATAATCCTTTGTTGTGAGGACTTTCCTCTGCACAGTAGGATGTTTAACAGCATCCCTGATGTCCACCCACTAGGTGGCAGTACTGTCCATAGCGATGATGACCAAATGTTTCTGGACATTGCTCGGTGTACCTTCGAGGGGCAGGAGTGCTCTCAGTTGAGAAACACTAGTTTAGAAAGACATAGAGTGTATAATGTACAACTAAACCTTCCTGAAAATTGAAGACTTTTTGCATAAATATATACGTATATACACACATATATACACACATTTTCATTACTTTGTTTTTCTTCACTTCCTATTTTCTGTGACACCATGATTTGATTTGTTATAATTCTTATACTTTTTAGGAAAGTAATACCTGCATTTGGCCTAGAATTTCCATGCTGCTCTTAGGATAGTGGCATTTTATACTTTTTTTAAGCTTTTTTTTTTTAAATGTTACTGAAAAAAATCTGTATTTTCTGGCAAATCAGTGATGAGCTACTTCATTTGAACACACTGTGACCAGAAAAGTATACCTCACTGATGTGTTTTATGTTAACAAAGTACATTGAGCATTAAGATAAATAAAATCCCACAGAGCTTAAATAACTCAACTAACCTTTCTCATGATAGGTTTTCTAAAGAAATCAGTTCTGGTTTGGTGGAAATAATATCACCTCCTGAAAGCTATTATCCTGACTTGACAAACTTAAAGGAGACATTTGGAGACTCTAAAGAAAGAGTAAGGTGAGCCTGTGTTTTTAGACCCCCTGCCCTTGTGAATATATTATATGATAAATGTACTTATTTATCAAAGCTTTACACATTTTAGGATTGAGCCAATTAGTGAGAGCTCATGAATTTTGGGGTATTTTATTGGAAATTCTATGGAGTTTCTGATGAGAGGTTGAATGTGGTAAACTTTATAATGTTTATAACTGCTGCTCTGATACTATGACTTTTCTTAAGACTATATTATGTATTTTTTTAAAAAGTATATTATCTGTAACTCAGAAGTTAGTCCAGATAGAACGCTCATGTGTGTATGCAGCATAAATGAGAACTGACTCAAAAGTGATAAAAACAGCCCAGCCGGGTGTGGCTCAGCTGAGCATCAACCTAGGATCCCGGCACATGCCCGGGTTGCGGGCTCACTCCCCAGTCGGGGGCGTGCAGGAGGCAGTCGATCAGTGACAACTCTCTCATCATTGATGTTTCTCTCTCCCACTCTCCCTTCCTGTCTATGAAAACAATACTGTTCTGCAAAATTATATTGTAATAGTGTAATTAGTTAATTGGATTTCTCTCTAAATCTCTAAAATTGAAGGACTTAGCTTTCATTGTATTATCAAAAACAAAGTAATCTAAGAGATACATTGGTATTAGTTTTGGATTTTCTGTAACTAGAGAAAAGGAAAAAATGGTATTTTGGGGAAGAGATTTATTGTACTTCTTGAGTTGTTAATTTGTCCCAAAGACAGATATGTCCACATAATTGGTTAATTGCTTCTCAATAAATATAATTTTATTTTTCATAAAGTTAGGGTTGAAGTTGGTAAAAAATTCTATGTAGTCTCATTAAATTCAGAACAGCCCATTAGCTGTATTATGGAGAAGTTTGCTTAGTATGATTCAAAGCTTTTATTTTACTTTTTTTTTTTTCCACTTGGCTTTTAGAACCGCTTCTCTTATTTAAAATTAGTCAGTTACAGATAATCCAGGCTACCAGGATTCACTGAAAGGACTTAATATTGTAAATTTTCATAGGATGCTTTGTTTTTTTTTAAGCATTCAATACCTATTTATTAATTTCTACCTGTTTGAAGCACAGCCCTAGGCACCAGAGCAATGATCTCCAAAGTATAATTTTTGAAGCACTAGTTCCTAGAGACATTAAGGTATTACTGAAAAAAGGGCCTGTGGTCAAAGAAGCTTGGAAAATACTGGATTACTTTTTTTTCCCCAACAAATCTATTTACTGCTGGATGTTTCAGTGCCTCTTATACTTATTAATATATCTCCCAAGGGGGAATATGTGTGCTTCCTAAACTTTATTGACAGTAGACTTCCTTTTTCCTCAGACATCTTGAGAATTATTGTTTTGGGGAATACATTTTAATAATGACCTCATTAGAGAAAAGTGAATTTTCTTTCACTCTCTCCTAAGTGCATATATTGTTATATGTGTGTGTATCTCTATGTCTATGTCTGTATAGATTTATATTGTGTCTACGTCATGTATATGTAATATATACATATTATGTCTAATATATGTACATATTGTAGAATATTATATGTCATAAAATATATTATAAAATGTAATACATTTAATCCTATTTTGCCTAACTTGAGTCTGATTCATAACTTATTTTTGAAAATTTTTATTTCAGATGGAGAACAAAGCAAAACCTAGATTATTGTTTTCTGATGATGTATGCTCAGGACAAGGGCATATTTTACATTCAGGTAAGTGTGAGTTTTTCTTTAATGTTTTTCACACTTCTAAGAAAAAGTAATATCAAGGGTATATTTTCATTAACACAGGATGTATTGAAAGCGTAAACCCTCTGAAATCTATAAGATCATAACAATCTGTCGGAGAGCACAAGTGTCCTAGTCATTGAGAATGTGGGCTCTGCAGTTCCGTTCTCTGTATCACCAGCACTAGCTCTCCACTTAGGGCTTTGAAAGGTGCCTCATCTCCTCCTTCCTTTTCTCCCATCCCTTCATCTTCTCTCCCACCCTCACTTCTCCGCTGTTAAAAAGAACTAAGGTTTAATTATGGAAAATTTTAAAGAAGGATTTCCTTATATTTTTTTTAGTGGTCTTATTAGTATAGTTTTTTTTTACGCTACAGTATATTTACATTTAGATAATAAAACTGACATTTTAGTTTTATTAGCATGGCTAAAAGAATAAATCTATAGTGATCCGGGTTTTAAGTTAGCCAGGTAGAGATCTCAGTAATCTAGGAAGCTCTTATTTCTTTCAAATTTCATTTTGCTAAGTGACTTAAGCTTAAATTTCCTAATTGGAATTTCATTAATTTCACCCAAGGTCTTTATCCCTTGTTTGAAATGCAGATACTAAGCCTATCAGGTTTCTTTTCTTCATTTTTTTATTTTTTCAGTATAAAAAGTTTATTAGATCCTTACCTAGGAGGATGTTTTGATGAAAGTGTCAAGAAGAGATTCTGAGTCCCTGAATCAGATAGAAATGGTGGACAGCTACTGGGAGCTGGGGGAGGTAGGAAGGTACTTTGGGAGGGGAGGAAAGAAAGAAGCAGCTTGGCATCACTGGGCAGGTGGACTTTCTGAGGTCAGATTTTGTCTCCCTTGACATTTTACCTCGGGCCAGCTGCTTTCAGATGGGCCTGAACCCTTCCTTGGTTCACAGGAAGGGAGATGTAAATGATGGCAGGGTCAAAATTTAACATTATATACAACAGTCTACAACAGTTGGGTGTATAAAAACCAATATCCTAAATTTAGAGGGTACATTTCCTTTCAGTACCTTAGAGAAGTCTGATTATAATTTCAAAATGTTTTATTTTAACATATCCCAAATATTACTGTAGCTGAACCTTGCTGTTTATTCTAGGGCCACTATATCAATATTTACATTATGGTCAAGATCTTTATAGAGAATTTAAAGGTATAGTTACTATGCTTTTAAAATTTGCTTTCCAAGGAGAAAATTAATGGAACCTTAATGCTTTTTCGTGGAGTAGAGGGAAAGTACATATTTAGGAAATTAAGGAAAGGATGGAGTTTAGAAAGAGGATGGTAAGGGAAACTCCCTTTAAGCAGGGTCAGTATGTAACGGCAGGGGTCAGTATTATAACAGCAGCAGCTATGAATTAGCATTTATTGCATGCTGACCATATGTCAGGCACTGTTCTTTACAATTTATGTTTTACACATATTCATTCATTTACTATAACCCTTTTTTACAGAGCAGGATCATCCTGTACATACTGTTTTATAGCCTATTTTGCTGTTATTTAACGTATCTTAGATGCCTTTGAATACCACTGATGCATTCCCAGGGTTTAGTGCAATGTCTGGAACATAATAAAAGCTTACTAAATATTTGGTGAGTCAGTATCATATTTTTCCAATTATTACTACTGTTACTTCACAGATAGGAAGAAGAAATCTTACAAGACTTAAATACATGAAAACTCTAAATGCTAAAATAAGTGAAAATGACTTAGCAGGTAACTAGAAATGATAATGTGAAATTAAGGAAAGGAAAAGTTTTCTTAGGGTGTTAAAGTTATCTCATGACTTTAAAATTATATGAAAGAAGATCCTGGGGAGGAAGTCTTTGCTTACATTCATGATTGCTGATCTCGGTCAACTCCCTGTTGAACTGACAGAAATTCCAAGCATAGTTAACATAGTGTTGACAGATCATATGGGGTTACCTGGCACTCTGTGAACTGTAACAGCTTCTTAAGGATTTTGAAGATGTCTTTTAAAACATGCAAAAGGAACTTTTAGGAATCTACCCTACAGAAATGAAAAGTATGTAAGTAGAAGCATGTTAGTTCAGCATTGTTTGCACAAACAAAAAATGAGAAACAAGCTAGATATTTACTTGTGATCAGGGTGAGTTGGATGAATTATTATACATCTGTAACATGGAATGTTACACATATATTAAAAAGAATGGTTTAAATATGTATTTATTAACCTGGAAAGATACTCATGATATATGAAGATAAAAAAGTTTCATAAGACCCCCTTTTTAATAAAAACGTAGAGGTGGATGGGAACCTGGAGGAAGTATTTATGGGTTTATATGTCCATACAGAAGGTGTTGATTGGATGCACGTCCAACTTTTAACATTGGTCACCTCAACTAGCAGGGTGGAAGGCAGAGAAGGGAAGCTACTAGCTTTTTCTTTGACTCTATCTTTAACTTGGTATGCATTTTATGTAAAAAGCAAAAAAAGGCAAAAAAAAAAAAGGGCTACAAAAGTTATTTTCCTTTGAAAAGAAGAAAAGTAGTGTGAAATCACGTTGGGCATTATAAAACGACCAAAAAGGAGTGATTCATGGGGTGGTATTGTTATTTCACACGGTAAGGGAGGGCTTTAGTTGATTTGCTATGTGCATATACCTTTTATTTTCATTTTCTTTTAATAAAGTTTAGTTTTGTATTTCCACAATTTCTGACCACTGTTTACTTGATTTTCATGATAAAGTATGCTTGATTTTTTTTTCCATAATAAAGAAGGTCTATCAAAATCTTTCTTCCCTTTCTGATTTATTAATGTAATTGTTTAACTCTCTTTAGCTTGAAGATGATATTATTGCCAAACAGAATTACTTTAACACTATGAAAAATTTTGCCCTTCAACTTGCTTCTGAGGAATGGATGATACTAGAGTTTTCCCAGCTGGGCTTCATTGGTAAGAAAAGTGTCGACTTACCTACTTTTCAGAAATAACTGTGAGTCTTGGGATATTGGACTATTTTTCTTTTTTAAAGTTGTCTTTGTTCTCTGGAAATGGATTGATTTTGAGGAAATTCAGCTTAGGCAAATGATGAAAGTTAACTCAAAGTAGTATTTAGAGATTTCTAAGATTGTAGTATTTATTCTCGAGCTCTACAAAGCAGCCTCATTGGCTCCATGTGTCCACATGTAAGGCCAGCCATGGTCCTGGTGAGCATGTCTGACTTCTCTGAAGCCTCTTCTATAACCCACTGCTTTTGCAAGATTGTTTTTTATTAAAAAAAATAATGGCAAACTAATAGTTTTGTAATACGAATTCCTGGTGTTTGATGTAGTACATGAAGTTCCTGTTCAGTGATTAATTAGTATTCATTTGTTTCTTTTATTGACTAGTCAGAGTGCTCATTTTAAAAGTTTTTTTCACTAATATTCCTAAATTATCCAACTAAAGAGAATATGTTGAAAGTTGAAGAATTAAAGAAAATGTACAGGTTTTAAAAACACTCAGAGGATAGCGTTTTGCTTCCTGTAGTGCTATAAAGCTTAAAATATTGGAGGCTGGGCCTTTGATCTTGTTGATCATTTATCTCAAACTTAATTTAAGAATCAAAAACATCTTGTGAAGGTTTAAGTGAAGACAGAAGTAGGAGTCCTAGTTTTTTGCATTTATTATTATTATTATTATTTTTTTACCTATACCTGTTAAGTTCCTTTTTTTAATGGGAAGAATCTTAAGACATGAAGGAAAAATCTCTGACTTGTTTCTTGAATCCTTTGAGCCAGGAGTTGTAGGATAGACTTTGTAATAGAGAAAATCAGGAATTCAATTCTTCCATTTATACCCAGATGACAGCTCAGTGTTTAGCTAATCAAGTTTGTTGTTTTTGATAAGACAAGTGGGGACATTATTGATAATGATTTATAATTGAAAGCACAAACTTTATTTGTTGTGTAGGTTTCACTTAAGCCATATTGATGTTTGGTTTATTACAGTTACTGACTGGAATATCTTTTCAGGCAAAATGTTTCAAGCACCAGACCTCACTCTGATTGTGGAATTCATATTTATGTTCTATAAGGAGAAGCCCATTGATTGGCTCTTGGACCATATCCTATGGGTGAAAGTCTGCAACCCTGAAAAAGATGCAGTAAGTTAATTTCTTATGAGGATGGAAGAAGTTTCTTTTCTGTATTTCATGAAAGTGATTTTTAAGGAGCTAGATTTTGTAAATAACAGTTAAATAGGTATTTCCACTTAACATTTCAAGTGCTTGCCTTCTTTCTTGAACTGACAAAAGTTTCTGTAGTGGAGGGACTTTTAAATAGCAGTAGGAAAATCCAGTAAATCAGCAAAGCCCACCTTTCTTTAAGTTGCTACGGTGTCTTTAGGCTCTGCTCTGTCATTGCTGTGGCTACAAGTGTTGAGCATGTCTGTCCTGTGTGGGCAGCTGTTTCAGTTTTCTTCATATTCTCTGTCAACTTTCTTTTTTCAAACACTTTGGGGACAATATCAAACCCCTACACCCTAGAAATAAGGAATAAAGTAGAAGTGATATTTTTTACCAAAATAATGGCAAGTGACAAAAGTACCTTTTAGTTTATTGCTTGGAAAAGCCAGCGTTCACACTGATATGCTGGCCTTTGGGGTGGTGGCAAGTGAAGGATGACTTCTGCTTTGATTATTCAAATATCAGGTTACATCCTTAGAAATCTTATTGCACAAGTCAATTAGATGGTTTCCTTGTCCAATTTGAATCGTACCTCTGGAAAAAACAAATTTTTATTTATTTGGTGTAAACATAAATATAATATGAATGTAAACATTTTTAAAAATGAACAAGTAAATTTTGACAGTAATAACATGAAAATATTTATTAAGAGCGTCTGTCATTATATGGTTGGCCTAGTATTCATTCTGACTGCATGACCTTATATCCCCTAGAATAGTTTTATCATCTTTCCTTCCAGTTCACTTTCAGGACATTATCTTCTGGTGTGTGTAAGCTATCATTGCATTCATTCCCTTTGTTGTTGTTCTTGCTGTTGTTTTTAAATAACCAGTTTCTTAGAGAAAATCATGGAATATAGTGAAATAGCAGAATAACTACTTTCCAACAATGATTGGACATGTAAATTGATTCAAACACTCATTTTTATGACGTAAGGCCTTACCTGTGTTTTCTTTGTGGTTTACAGGAATTTTTATTATAGGGCACAAAAAAGTTAATGTCATCTTTACACTCCAAAAATAGACTAGCAATTTAATTGGTCCTCGGCAGTTCAATCTAATATATGGTTAGGTTCTAAAATGAGGCCTTGAGGTTAAAATCTCTGATAGAAAAAATTAAAACCACAAAACCCCTTTAAATCACCAGTACTTTTAACACACAACCCTTTGGCTGGTTCTATTTTGTCACTCTTAGGCCACACTTTTCTGTGGCCCATAATTCTTCAGTTTGCTTCCAGTAGGCGTCAAAGAAGCTGTCACCACACACTTGCAACTGGAGCAATCTCTTTGACAGTGGTCTAGGAAACCCTTCAAAGCATTCACACATTCGTCCAGAGATTTAGCAGTCGGCTCTGCCCCTTCAGCCCACAGGTGTGCGTTGCCTGTTGCGTGGTTGGCTCAGTCTCAGGCCCTGTTTGTTCTTCTCCCCTCCTGTTGCTCTTCCTCTCCTTCCACTTGAGTAGTTGAATTTGCGTGAATAAAATATACTGCTTTACTTCTGTTCTAGTGCTAGTAATAATGCTGACCTCTTGTTTAAATTCGATAAGCTAGTCGATGTAGAAAGATTGGTGATTGTTAAAATATATTTGGTCTTATAATTCCGGCCTCTTATTCATAATGTGATTTATGATGGAATTTTTTGTGTGTATAACAGATGTGAGGAGACAGTGGGTCCCCCAAAATATCAGGCCTTTTAATACCCAGTAAATTATTGAAGGTTTTTTAAAGTGGAACTATTTTATAAATATGTCTTTTTCAGTATGTTTTTGGCCTAAAACTTATAAAAAGTCATTGAAAATGAAGGGTTTATCAAAGCATGACCAGCCAGCCATGGCTGTTTTGAAGTACCAAACTAACACCCATTGAGAGCCCTGCTGGCATCAGGTGTCTCACACTCTGATCAAGTTTGAGGACAGGTTGCAATCTGAAGCCTGAGCCGAGAGGCACTTTGAGTTGAAAAGTAGGGTCCCTTAACTGTGCTGAGAGAGATTTGTCGGTGGCCCTTTTCATTTTGTTTACTTGCTTATAGTCGAGTTATTGCCTTACATTTTCAAATTGTTTTCATGCAACAAAATGTGCCTTTAATTATTTGCAAATTCTTTATTATATTATCCTTTTGTATATTTTGTCTATTTGACCCAAATCTCTAGCTTATAGTTTGTGCATTTTAATATTAAAAGTCAAGTCTTTATTGACATGTTGTGAGAAATGGTTAAAATTAAATCCTAACCCTTCCCTTAGATGTGCTTATTTTAAATTTCTGCATCTTGTCTGTTTATCAAATAGGTAGTAATCCTATTAATGCCTCAGTGAGGACCCTTAAAAAATGTGATTTGTAATTATGAGATGAAGTTGGATTTTCTCTTCAATATTAACCTAAAGGACTTGTCATTTTTCAGATGAGGACAAGATTTCACTTTATAATGTGACACTAACATGATTTTCCCCTAATATTTAGAAACATTGTGATAGACAGAAAGCAAACCTACGAATTCGCTTCCGACCTTCCCTCTTTCAGCATGTTGGTCTGCACTCTTCGCTGACGGGGAAAATTCAGAAGCTTACGGTTGGTAATTTCACTTGATTTTCCCCGTGAACATACAATTTGTTACCTAGTGCATTGTCATTGTTCTTCCTCTTAAGTATAAATAAACTAAAGGTTGTTTTAATTGCATATATCTCTCTCCTCCTAGGATAAAGATTACATGAAACCATTACTTCTTAAAATCCATGTGAACCCACCTGCAGAAGTATCTACTTCTTTGAAGGTCTACCAAGGACATACACTGGAGAAAACATATATGGGGGAGGATTTCTTCTGGGCTATAACCCCGATAGCTGGAGACTACATCTTGTTTAAATTTGATAAGCCAGTCAATGTAGAAAGGTTGGTGATTACTGAAATATATTTGGTCTTACAGTTCAAACCTCTTTCATAATGTGATTTATAATGAAAGTTTTTTGTGTATAACAGATGTGAGGAGACAGTGGGTCCCAAATGTTGGGTTCTAAAATACATTTCCTACAACTCAGTAATAAAATGGGTTTGTTGTTTTCAGATATAATAGCAGCATTTAGCACATTTGATAAATTCTCTTGGTACTTCTGAACATATATTTAGGGTAGTTTTTTCATACTTTTATGTAGAACTGTGCCACAAAATCTCAAATTCATTTTCACATCCTTAACCCTAGACTATCCCCTAAGATTTAAGTGAGAGATGGTTGACTACCCAGCAGAGTGGTTGAAGTGACAAGTTTAACAGATTGCACCTATTTCTAGTCAATGCTAGATTCCTTTTAGCACCTCAGGGAGGAATTCATGACCCTTTTACGTTTTCCAGTGTTTATGTCCATTGTACAAAGTGTAGGACGCCTTCTCCCTGTTTGTCATTTGGTTGTCATGAGTCCCTCAAACTTTACTCAGTTCTGGCTGTGTTTCCCAGACTCTCTGTAGCATACTTACGTGTGATCCCCAGAGAAGAGAATATAATTCTCTAGCCTCTGGCTTATTTTGTTATGTGTTCTCATGAAGGGCCATTTGGTTTTTATAATATGCCAAAAGTCATTTGGGATCATTCTATTTAAGGTGGACAAAAACAATGCATAGCTATAATGTAATGTTACTAATTTTCTTTTGTTACTCTAAACTGATTCTGAGGAGGAATGTAAATGTAAAAATGTTTTAAACAATGGAAATATCACTGGAAAAACATAAAAATACTTTTCAGTAATATTTTGTACTTACATGAGTGTGTAGTATTTGTCGTTATTTAATGCTCATTTTATACTATTTCATGATAATCTGCATTTTGCAGTATTGTTTACCACACTTAGAGTCATCCCAGAATTAGAAACAATAATTTTCTTTCACCTCCTTGATAAACAAGAATAGCCTCAAGTCATGTCTATTGGTTTATTTTTAGCAAATGAAAATAATTCCACTGAAGACCTGCCTACTCATATATTGGAGATCAAATTTCTTAGCAACAAACACGTTTACAATAAACCTCTGTAAAGTAGTATTTACATGCCCCTACTGGGGCTCTTTTCTAGTAGAAACTCATATGAATTTTCTCTTTGGACAGAAAAAAGCAATCACTTTTTGATTTTCACGATAACTTATATGCTAAGAAGGAAAAAAATAGAAGTTGCGTTTGTCAGTGCAGACATGAAGTGTTAGGAGAAATGTTTCCTGGCTATTGAGCATGATGTGTGTTCATTATACTAAAGCTGAAAAGTATGAAGGGTAAGGAAAGAGTCGTCACAGCCCCGAGGACACCCTGGTGACCATATTGGCACTTTTTCCCCTTGATAATTCTTTCCACTTTCTACTTTGAGATCATGGTGTATATGTAATTTTATATCTTATATTTTCCATTATGCTCTGTCATACACAGTTCATAAACGTTTCAGTGGCCGCACAGCATCCCATTGCACGGCTCTGTCACCCTTCACTTCCGATGTTAAGCTCTGGGTGAAACTGAGTTTTCCACTATAGACAACTGCTTAGTGACCACCCCTGACTCAATCTGGCTAAACTCCAGATTATATCCATATATATATATTTTTTTTTTTTTTTAAACTGATATTTAGAGAGAGAGGAAGGGAGAAGGAAGGAGAGAAACATCTACGTGATGTTTCATCCATCGGCTGCCTCCTGCACACCCCTACCAGGGATCGAGCCTGCAACCTGGGCAGTTGCCCTGACCAGGAATAAAACCTGCAACCCTTCAGTGTCACACGGGCCACAGCTGGGCTTTATTTTCTTAAAATGGCTTCCCTGCCCATATTTTTGCACTTATAGCTGAGATATTGAATGGCCCATGGTTATATGAAGCAGCATTCGATGGCAAAGATGTCTTAAAAAGAAGTGTCTCAGTGAAAATGTTGGAAGTAATTTTTGGTGTAGCTTAGAAAGAACTTCTTGTTAGGGTCCCCTGACCCGTGTAACTTTTGAAAATCAAGTCCTTATTATAGGTGATTTCTGCCCACAAATATCATACTGTAACTATGTCAGAACCATATTGTAACTATTACTTGCTGAATGTCCTTAATATGCATAGTACTTTTTGTCAGTTCTCATAAACTTCTCGATATAGTCATGTGCGGGTGGGAATATCTGCATTGTATAGATAAAACTCAGTCTCAAAGCTAATGCAACTTGCTAAGGTGAAAATTCTAGTAAATGAGACCCCCAGGACTGGGATGCACGTCTTTTTACTACTAAGCAGAAACTTTTAACCATTTCATTGAACTAAACTTAAGTTTAGGTCTAGATTTAGATACATTTTGTATGCCATATCTGGTATCCACCCTCCTCCACATACTTACCCACATATACTAGTTTTCAGAGTATCAGAATATAGGAACATTATACTCATACCCAGGAGTGTTTTAGATTTACCACAGTATATCATGTAATCAATCATTTTTCAAATATTTATTAACACTGACAAATGGAATCATTCAGATATTTGGAATTGGTTAATTTATTTTTACTCTACTAATACAGAAATAATTTGTATTGGATAAAACTAGCTCAGTTGGTTAGAGCGTCATCCCAGTGTGCCAGGGGTGCAGGTTCAGTCTCTTATTAGGGCACATCCAGGAATTAACCAGTGATGCATCAGTAAGTGGAGCAGCAAATCGATGGCGCTCTTTCTCTCTCTCTCTCAAAAACCACCAAAAAAACTAGTCTTTGAACTTGCCACAACTTGTGGCTGTCCTAGTGAAATTTTTTGATAAAAGACACAGTATTATAATTACTGTTCCCATCAAGAGGTTGATATATTTAAAGCATTATAAACAGCAACATAAAACTGTCATCATTTTTTAATCTTTTAAGTACATAATCATGTTAAGCAGCAACTGCATCCCTTCTGACTGAAGGAATTAACATATCACCTCAGGGCTTCACCCTTCAGTTTTTAAGTTCCCCACAACTATTCAGAGCATAATGTGCAGTTACGACAAGTTCTGGTGGTGTCAGCGTGTGTGGAAAGCTTCCTTTGCGGGCAGACCACCTTCCTGAGTCTTTGTAAAGTCTTGTCTGACTTGTATTTGTATTTTTATGCTTGTATTTTCAGTTATTTGTTCCATAGTGGCAACCAAGAACATCCAGGAGATATTCTGCTAAACACATATGTGGACGTTTTGCCTTTTAAGGTATGACTGTTTTCCCCTTAATCTTTCTTAAGAACTAACACCAGTAGGCTTGGTTTGAGGCTATTCTTGTTTATGAAGTTAAAGAAAGTTCTCATTATTGTGGGAGGGACGTCAGTGGTGAGTAATACTATTTTTTTTTTTAAATATGAAACAGTATATTGTCCCGTTTGCCTTATTTATAGAATGAGCCTTTATTTTGCTTCCCATTGGAAAGTACTTGGAAGTTTGTACCAGGAAAATACCATGCGATTTTATTGCCTGTTGATTACTACAGAAAGTTAATGTACTAGTCTCTAAGGAATTCTTAGATTTCTTTCAAGTTCTTGTGTATATTTTCAATAGAAAATAGTTTTCTCTTAAATTGATTTGAATTTTAAATTATATGAAATTTAAATTTTCCAGTCACCAAAATATTATATACAGATTCAGATGATGGTGAGAAACAAGAACCATGATATTGATACGCCTTTTAAAATTCAAGACTAAAATGGCATTTTCTGTTTTTAGAGATAAGCTGTGCCACAAATTCTACTTTTATATTTATTAAGGTATGGTAATAACTTAGCTTTGTTTTAAATAGAAGAAATTATTTATAAAATAATGTTTTTGTTCTGTTTTAGAGTGAAGGTTTGGAAATAAGCAAAGAAACCAAAGACAAACGATTAGAAGATGGTTATTTCAGAATAGGTAATACCAACTTTAAACTTGTAAAAAAAAAAAAAAAAGGCCTTTATTTTGAACTTGCTCCTAAAATAATTTTTAAATCCTCACCTGAGGATATGTTTATTAATTTTTTTTAGAGAGAAGAAGGGAGGGACAGAAGCATGGATGTGAGAGAGAAATATCTATTGGTTGCCTCCCATATGTGCCCCAAATGGGGGATCCAGTCTGCAACCTAGGTATGTGCCCTGACCAGGAATCAATCCCGCAACCTTTTGGTGCACAGGACAAAGCTCCAACCAACTGAGCCACCCAGCCAGGGCTTCTAAAGTAATTTTAAATGCTTTCAAGTATTCAACAGCTTTAGGATTACAGTTACCAGTGCACTCCAGGTATAATTTGTTCTTGCATTTTATTGTTTTGACCCAACTAGGATTTCAAAGGTTCATTCACTGGTTCTCTTTTTTTCTCCACCTGCCATTTAATTGTTGCTGTTCACTGACAGATGATCTGCCTTCTGCAGTCTCCCTGCAGGACCGTAGCTACTCTCCTGGTCTCAGCAGCATCCATATGCCAGAATCCATGCCTTTCTCTCTAACCCCCATCTTGGGCTTCAGATCTCTATTGATACCCACTGACATAGTCACCTACTCTGAGCATCTGTAATACGGACTTTTTTTATTGGTCACCACACTTTCTGTTGTCACAATTCATCTGGTAGCCTGAGCCTAACCTTGGGAGATACCCTGAATACCACCCCCTTTTACTGCCTGTTAGCATAAATATGTCCATCTGCGATGGTGCTCTAGGCTCTGGGCCTTTGTGTGGGAGCCAGAGAAGGACCACATCTGCCTGTGTCCTTTTGTCAGCTTTTCACAGAGCCACTTTTTAAATGTTGACATTATAATTATGTTAACCTGGGTAAAACCTCCATGATCAGATTCCTTCATCCCACCTACTTTCTCAACTTGCTACCTTCCTCTTATTATCTTTTTCTCTAGTCCCAAGACTATTGTTCCTCTCATGTCCCATGCTCTTATGTGCAGCTATGTCTCTGGCTATTTATTTTTATTGTTGACATTATTACAGATCTCCCCCATTTCCCCCCCCTTTACCC